TGGGTTCTCTTTGGTCCCCAGTTCCATTCTCACCTGGGGACCCTGCTTCCTCCTTGGGATGTCACCTATGGAAGCCAGACTCCAAGATGGCCCCCTATGATTATTTCCTCCTGGTGTTGGTGCACTGCGTCGTCTCCTCCCACCCTGAGTCATGGCCAGCTGTGTCACCCATAGACTACGGAGGAAGTGGTGACGCGTGGCTTTTGAGGTAGGTTAGAATATGTATTGGAGCTCCCATCTCGCCTCTCGGATGGCTCACTCTGGAAGAAGCCAACTGCCATGCCATCGAGCAGCTTTGTGGAGAGGCCCAGGTGGAGAGAAACCAAGGCACCTGGCCAATAGCCAGCGTCAACTTGAATGGCCTGTCTCAGAAGTGGATCCTCCAGCCTCGGTCAAGCCTTCAGATGACTGCAGCCCCACTGAGCCCTTCCTAAACTCCATACCCACAGAATCCATGAGTAGAACAAAGAGCTGATTGTCGCTGTGACGCTTTGATTTGCAGCCATAGTAACTGAAAAATCATGCTCTCTGTGGGGGGACTTCAGCTTCCATCTTCGCATGGACTTCACCAACCTCAGTGAGAGTCACAGTCGTGATGCTTCCATACAATCCTGTCTTTCATGAAGGCTGAGAGGGTGGTGGGAGGAAAAAAACTGGGGAGGCAGCCCAGGATGGTGGCAGTCACCAAGCCTATGGTGTTAAAGCAGATAATGAATCAGTTATTGGAGGGACCTGGTCATTCAGGGTGGTCAAGTGGAGAATCCCTGTCCTAATCCAAGTGGACTTGGCCATCAGGGGGACTGGAACCTCGGCATGGACTTGGTGAAGGGGAGGAAGTCACAGCTTATGTCCAACCATAACAATCACTATACTATATGTACATGGACACTCCAAGGAAAGACCCCACTCTATGGTAGCCACACCAAACACCCTTTAATTGTAAAGAGATGGAGAGGTTAACAGTAAAAGGGGTGGGAACAGATGGCCACGTGAACGCTAACCAAAGGAAGGCTGGCATGTGATTGTCTTAAAATTAGACAAAGTTGACTTCAGAATAAAGCCTTTGTCAGGGAGAAAGAGAAAGATTTCATAATGATAAAGGGGCCTATTCAACAGAGAGAGAAAATAACCATAAATGTGTTGGCACATAATAGCTTCAAGATGCACGAATCAAAAAGTGACACAAGTACGAATAAACGGCGATGCAGACACAGCCCCGCAGTCAGAGTTGGTGCTGTTTGTGCTTCTTTCTCAGGAACTGAGATTACAACTTGCCCCATCGCCACCGCACAGCCAGCGAGCGACCGAGACGGAGACCGGATCGGGGAACAGGAACTGTTCTTTCCACTCCCATGATGCTCTGGGCACCCTGGACCCATAGCCTCTCTTCAGAGCTCTAACAAGACCCCCAGTGGTCATTGGGCAGGGATTTGTGATGAAGGTTTTACAGACAGAAGCCCAGAAACATTATTAACTCACAAACCCAGGACACAAGGTGTGCCAACTGCACCCTCCCCGCCCAAATGCAGCCATCTCCCTCCCACCTTCAGGTCCCCGCCCCCCGAAAGGCGTCAGACTAGAAACCCCGCCAACACTGCTGAGGTGCTTGGCCTGGTTTGTCTTCCTTTCCCAAGGAGCTTCTCTTTCTCCTTCGCTTCCGTACCCTTTCATCGTCTGGCTCGGTAACGTGGGCCCAGCCCTAAGAAGTCCAGCTCGGGGAATAAGAACAGTCAGGAGGCAGCGATGTTCTTTGTCTTTTCCCATCATCCCCGCCCTGCTCCTCACTGCTCCCCAGTACAGGCATAGTTTGCATTTCAATCTTCTCCCTCTGAAATCTGGATGCTTTTTATTAAGGGTGATCTATACAGATAATGAAGGAAGAACTATTGCTCCCATCACCAGGGACCAAAGAAATTATAACCACGTGCAAAATAGAAAGTCCCCGGAGAAATTCCCTTTCCACTCATTCTTTCCCAGATACATACCTCTGCTCACATGCTCACACAAGCTGCTCAGCATACGCTCAAAGGACAGTCACTGGCACACTAGTTCACAAACATACGCAGACAAACATACACAGGTTTTCACTCACTGGCACATACTCAGGCCCACACAGAAACACACATGGGCACGTACACACACACACGCATTCATACATGTGGAGACACAGTCAGGGCTTTATTCCAGCTTCAGGAAGACCATGGGATGGCTGAATTGCACTCTAGAGCATTTGATGATGCCTTTGCCAGCAGGAGCATCATGAATTATTTATCGAATTATTCAATAATTAATAAAAGTCATCACAAAAAGCTCAGCTGAGGTAGATACAGCTCTGTAAAAAAGTCCTCACTGTTGAAGGTGTATGTTTGTGTATGTCTTCTGTACGTAAGAAAGAGAGAGGCGGCTGTTTAAACAAAGCCTTCTGTTTTAAATCAACTTTAAAATATGCTGCTTGGCCGAGCCAGCATGGCGCCGGGGTTGAGTGCTGACCTATGAATAAGGAGGTTCGATTCCCAGTCAGGGCACATGCCCGGATTGCAAGCTCAGCTGTGGGGGCGGGGATATTCAGGAGGCAGCTCATCAATGATTCTCTCTCATCGTTGATGTTTCTACCTCTCTCCTCTCCCTTCCTCTCTGAAGTCAATAACAACGTATTTTTTAAAAATGCTGCTGTGACCCTCCACCGGGACTCTGACCAGAGCAGTTTTCCAGAAACTAAACCCACAGACACTCGGCTGTGTGTGACGGACACTAGTGGGAAGAGCTCAGAGGAGCGAGACATAGGTCTCTGTCTGCACTCTGCGGAATGTGCCTCGGGCACACCAGGCCCCGAACGGACCTTGCAGCCGGGCGGCTTCCAAGGCCACCCACGTCTCTTCTTGGAAAGACGACCTTTGGCAGCCCGACCAGCCTCCACCCGTCCAGCCTCCACCCGTCCAGCCTCCACCCGACCAGCCTCCACCTGACCAGCCTCCACCCGTCCAGCCTCCACCCGACCAGCCTCCACCCGACCAGCCTCCACCCGTCCAGCCTCCACCCGACCAGCCTCCACCCAACCAGCCTCCACCCGTCCAGCCTCCACCCGACCAGCCTCCACCCGTCCAGCCTCCACCCGACCAGCCTCTACCTGACCAGCCTCTACCCGACCAGCCTCCACCCGACCAGCCTCCATGCCTTTGCTGGACTGTGCTGGCCCTGGTGACAGCTCCTCGCCGCCTCCTGATTCAAATCCCATCCCCAAAGCCAGCCGCTCACTTCTTCCCCAACGCCCTCTGCCCCACTCCCTGCTCCTCTCCTTCCCACGTGCTCCCTGCTTCGCACCTGCTTCTCTCCCAGGGCGGCCGCCTGCTGGGTGTCTGCCCAGCTCACCTGTGTGAGCTCCCCGAGACGCTTCCTGAGGCTGGAGGCCCGCCTCACCGTCTTCACAGCCTCAGTGCAGCCTCGCGCCAGCTGGGGAGAGCCGCGCACATAGTAGTGCTCCACAAACACCAGAATTACTCGGGAGGGAGGCGGGGGAGCAGAAAAGCCATGGCCTGCTCCGAGGCAGAGGAAGGGACCCCCTTGGACACAGTTTGGAAGTTGGTGAGCAGTCTGGTCCCCGAGGAGGGGGAGGGATGACGAAGGGCTGCACTTGGCGCCAGAACTTCTCGGGCCCCAGTCCAGGCGGTGCCGCTCGCCAGCTGTGTGACCGTGCCCGAGCGGCTCTGCCTCTCTGGGTCTCAGTGTCTTCCATGATCGAAGCAAGATCACTGCGCCGTCTCCCTGGGCTGCTGGGGCCTGAGGGAGGCGATGGCAGCCGTCACCCTTCTGAGGCCTGTGACCGGCTGTTCTAGCCCCCCTGCCAGCCGGGCTCATGGCAGTGATGACTCAGGCTTGCTGCTGGGGAAACCGAGGCACGGGTGGTTGCTGGGCAGACGGACTGGAAGCGCACTGTCGGACTCCGAGGCCAGCCTCTGGGCCCAGCAGGCGCGCCAGCCAGCATGCGGAGGCGGAAGCCGGTCCTGGGCGGAGGGCGTGATGGTGGCGCCCACACAGAGGCTGAGCGCCAGCCCTGCCCCCGCAGTGCCCGCCCTGGGGGGGGCCGAGGTGACAGCCAGGCAGCTCCTGACTCAGCCACTGCTCCCTGCGTGGGAACTCCCGGGGGACCTGTCCACCCACCGTTGGGGGGTCCTTGGGGGCAGGGCTGTCACGTGGCTGCTCCCTGAACACGGAGGATCCTGGATGTGGGCGAGGCCTCCTCCTGGGAGCCGGCAGAGCTGTCATCATAGCGGGCTTGTCAGCCTGGGTGGAGGGAGGGGGGGTGGCGGTGGCGTGTGCTCTGTGTGTGTGGAGTGGGGGGAGGGCAGGGAGAGCCTGAAAACACAGTTCTTCAGACTCCAGAGACAACTGCCCCTTGGGCCATCCCCATGAATGGTTTCTGCTGCTTCTTGCATCCCTCCTGGGACAGGAGTCTCACTACCTGTTCCACGTGGGGCCAGCCCTCGCTCTTAGTTCTTCCTGGGGTTGGGACAGAGGCTTCCCTCTGTGACATCTTCCCATCAGTGTCGTTCTGCTCTGGGAGCCACCGGCCATTGTCTTATTTTATCACCAGTGGCCCTGCGCATGCATCTGTGCCCTACTAGCTCGATGCTGCTTGTTTCAGCTGGCCGCCCTGCCCACTGCCACTCTAGCTCTCCTCACCCCCCACCCCCGCCCCGTTCCTAGCTCACTGCCCTGTCCTCCTGGTGGTCATGACCCGTCATGGCGTAACGACCATTTGTATATTGCCTCTTTATTATATAGGATTATATAGGATAGGATTGTCTTCACTGCAGGGGGTGGAGTGGTGTGGAGATGAGGGCAGCCCCATCTTTAAATCCCATATGAGCTCCACGAGGTCAGCCCTAACGGGGGAACCAGGAAGGCTCCCTGAGCTCGCCATGGGGATTGGATGAGGAGAGGAAAACCTCTAGTGTGGGGCTTGGCGCATAGTAGGTGGTCAAAGAGCAGCAACTCTTGTTCACCTTAACGCGAATTTCTCTCCCACATGACAATCCCTAAAGCATTCACAGTTCTCTGTGCCTCTGCATCCGTTGCAGGTTAGTCAGCCTCCGAGGCCAGCGTGGTTCCCGAGCCTCTATGACATGTGTGAATGCACATGCGTGTGTGAGTGCCTGTGTGCGTGTGTGCACATGTGTGGGCATCTCAGTCACGACTCCGGAGCTCAGCCTCCGTGGAATGCTTCCCGGCATTTCCCGTGCCTGCCGCAGCCTGCTTTATTTTGTCATCAGCGGGGCTTTGGACGCGAGTTTCATTACAGAACTGACATCTGGCAGCCCGCACGCGTGCCTTCTCGCTCGGCAATGGGTGGCGCAGAGCTCTGGCCAAGGCGGACTCTGCTAGCCTCCGAGAGGCAGCCCCGCCTCAGCTCGGGCAGGACACACCACGCCGGGGCCTTCCTTCCAAGTCCTGGTGCCACTCCTCACGCCCAGGCCGGCGCGGGCTGTTGGCACTCTGCGTATGAGCCGGAAGAAGCCGTTTAGGGCTTTAATTATGTCCTCGTTCTGAAGGCCTTGTCAGGGGGGGTCGGTCCGTCAGGGAACTGGGCTTGTCCTGCTGCTGACAGTGCACATGCTATCACCCTGTCCAGTCGGGGCTCCCTGCTTAGCCCCTTGTCTGGGAGAGGGGGAGGAGGATGTGTCTTCTCTCCCAGAGACTTCCAAGGAGGAGGCGAGAAGGCCTGTCCTGCCCGGAGAATGTGCAGCTGCAGCATCTGGCAGCCCGGGTGGGGCCCGGGGCCTTCAGCAGGGCTGGCCTGCATGGCGGCCGGCGGGAACCCAGGCTGGGACCAGCCGCCGGGAGGACTGGTCCCGCTGTCATCCCATACCGGCTGTCCCCGCTTGCAGCAGGGCCTCGGGAGCGGGGTCACGGTGCCCACTGTCAGGAGCCCCGGTGCAGTGACTGCTCAGCACAGTGAGGCTCCCGGGGGTCCCAGCAGCCCAGCCCGGGCAGGCGCCTCTGCCCCATCCCTCATCACATTGAGCCATCTGCCCTCCGGCTCCTCCGCGGTGCTGCCCTGGCCTCCGTGTGTGTGGGTCACTTCACAGCGATGCATTTCAGGGACCGGAAATATGGATGAGATCACGTCTCTACGGATTCGGCTGTCCTTTCCAAACACTGGTGGTGGCTCCTGGAAGGCTCCAGCCGACAAAGAGCTTTTTGCGTTGAAGACCGAGCTCCTTTCCCCCGTCGTTTAACCCAGGGGCGGGCTGGGTGGTGCAGACAGAAAGGGGTGTGGGGGAGGGGAGACATGGAGAGATGTTGGATGGAGGATGATAGATGCAGGGATTCGGTTTACAGAAGCGGCCGTGCTTTCTCTGCCTTTGCCCTGGCCTGCAGGAAGAAGCATCGTTCTTTCCTGAGTGAGGTCATTCACTGAACTGTCTCCTGAGCACCTCTGATCCGCTGGTGATGGGGACACGGCAGTAAATGAGACGCCACCCTTGCCTTCAAGGACCTGAGGGTCCCCCAGAGCAGAGGTCCTCTGAGTCTGAGTGCCGATGAGGATGCCGGGAGCCAGGGCTGCTGGTGGAGGCGCAGGGCAGCGGAGGGCAGTCCGAGAAGGCATCCTGGAGGAGGGGGTTCCGCTGAACCTTGTGCTGCACACACTGTGCTGCTCGGCTCCTAACGGCTCCTTCTTCTTGATTATATTTCTTACCAGAGGTCCGATGCATGAAATTCGTGCAAGAGCAGGTCTTGGTGGCCCGGCTGAGCCCTGGCTTCGTCTGGAAGGTCGTCCAGAAGGTCGTTCTGCTGTTCGGTCGGTTGGTCGATCGGCATATTATGCTTTATTGTTATAGATCAGCCTCTCGCTCTTTTTCGAGGGTTGCTGTGTGTTCTATGAACACATTTTTATAACCGATTATGTTACCCTCCAGCCTCCACAGGGAATAGAATGTGCTTTCTGTGACTAACGCGAGGGGTGCACCGGCCTGAGAATGGAGAAGCCTGTTTTCAGCCCCAGCTCTGCCGCTGACGTCCTGGGCCGCCTCGGGCAGGAGGCTCCGAGGCCCTCGTCTGTGAGATGACCCAGTGACCCCTAACATCCTTCCCACCCTGAGAGCCAGCGCCGCCGTGGGGAGCTGACCACTGAGCACCAGGTCAGCCAGAGTGGCCAGCGGCCTCTCTTCCTCGGACAGCCTTTCCCGGGTCGCACTGGGCCTTCCCAACCCCACGGCATTGCGGTGCCTGCGTGGCCTCGGGTTTATGACTGTGGAGGCTGGGCCAGCCCAGGGGGACATAACTTTTTACCCAAACAGCCTGACCAGAGTTGCAGTCTGGGCGGGGAGGCCAGGCAGGATGCTGGGGGGCAAACTGTGTCCGGAGGTGGAGGGAGCAGCAGCGAGGGGCTGTGGCGGGGCAGGGAAAGGGGCCACGAGAAACCCCGAGTGATGCGTTGGGACTTTCCCGCTTTGTGCTTATGAAGCAAACCTCGCCTGGATCTGTTGCCGCGGTAGCTCCTGCCAAGCTGAGGTTGACAGGTGACCCTGGGCTGGCAGCGCTCGGCCCGTCCTGCCAAGGCCCAGCCTGTTTCAGAGGAAGGAGTCCGTGCCATGGACACCGGGGACCCTGGAGAAGGGCCAGGGACAGTGGCTGCCCGGCTGGGGAGTGCGCCTTCTGGGTGGAGGATTCCACTCTAACCTGCTGCCATTACCCCAGACCCCAGGCACCAGGCGGCCTCGGCCTCGTCCCACCCCTCCGCCTGCTCCGCGTCTCTGGGGAGAGAGGATGGTTGTGCGAATCTGGTGCCTCGACGGCCGGCTGTGAGAGGGAGGCGTCTCCAGGAGCCCCTGGCTCTGATGCCATTCGCAACCGGACAGCCCGTGCCCAGAGGAAGCCCCTGTCTTTGGCCATCAGTCTGTCCCCCCACCCCCAACCTCACCCTGCTGAGAGAAGAAGCCGCCCCGGCCCTTTCCTCCAGGTGGGGGCGGGGGGGGGGGGGCACCGAACAGCACCCTCTCACCCAGGGCCGGCCCTTGCAGGAGGGATCACTCACAGACACACCCCAAAGGCGCCCTGCTGACCCCCATCTGACCACCAGAGCCGCAGGGTCCTCTGACTTTCTGGTTCTCCCCCACATCACTGTCTCCCTGGGTTCCCCAGCCTTTCTCCTTTCAGCCCAAAGACTCAAAGCCCAGCTCCCATTTCCTTGCTCCTGCTGCCTCCTGGTACTGCCATCCGGCTCTCTCCCAGTCTCCCCATAAACAGGTGAGGAGGCCGAGTGAAGTGACTCGCTTTGGGGGTCTGGTGCCCTAACAGGGGAGTGCGGGGGCCGTGCCTCTTGCCATCATGCCCGGCTATTTTCTTTCCCTTTTCCGGCCTTGGCATTAATGATGAATTACTGACACCACGCCCCCCCGCCCCCCTTCTTTTTGTTTTTGAAGGAGTTAAATCACCAATTGCTTAACAAAGCTCTGGAGGTTTTATGTTTGTTTAGTATTCACTGTCCTGCTCCAGAGCCTCCCATAGCTCCCCAGTGCCATGAGGATGAGTGTGCAGTCCTCATCCTGGCTCTTGGGAGCTTCCTGGAAGGCCTGCTGGGTTCCTGTCCCACCAGCTCCTCCTGTCTCCCTGTCCCAGGCTGGCACAAACACACGGCCCTCCACAGCACCTCAGAACCATCCCCAGGCAGCCCTCCCTTTCCGAACCTCTTGTGAGTACCGTTCACGTGCCCCTGAGAGCGAAGAACTTGCGGCTTCTTCTTTCGGGGGGCGGGGGGGGGGGGGGGGAGGAGGATGGGCAGGGGAGGAGGGCGGGCTGATGGCCGAAGACGGGGCTTCCTCTGGGCAGGGCTCCTGGAGACGCCTCCCTCTCATGGCCGGCCATTCCCACAATCATCCTCTCTCCCCAGAGACGTGAAGCAGATTATAATAGCGTTTAGTAACGGAAAACCTAGCAACAATTGAAATGTAAAAGAATCTGTAATGGTATGAAAAGATGTCCCTAGTGGGTTATGTTAAAAAATAACATGATATATAATTTTAGTCTGTTTTTGTAAATTGAAAATAATATTCATGATAAACAATAACATGTAAGGTAATATCTATACATATAAAAAGCCTAAGTGACCAAATGATCAGAACTATGGGAATGACTGGAACGACCAAAACAACCAGTCAACCAATCACTACAATGCGCACTGACCACCAGGGAACAGCTGCTCAGCACAGGAGCTGCCCTCTGATGGTTAGTGCGCTCCCACGGCCAACCTCCTGAGGCCCCTCCCCCTGGCGACCAACCTCCTGTGGCCCTTTCCTCCCCTCCCCCCGGCCAGCCAACCTCCCGGGGTCCCTACTCCTGGCCAGCCAGCCCCCCAATAAACCTTGATTGTCAGCCAGGCCAAGGGACCCCCGCCTGTGCACAAATTCATGCACCAGGCCTCTAGTCTATAATAATAAAAGCAAAATATGCTAATTAGACCAGACATCCTTCTGGACGACCTTCCGGATGAAGCCGGGACTGCTAGGGAAGCCCAGGTCCCAGGTGCCAGCGGGAGGCCGGTGCCAGCGCCAGGGGAAGGAAGGCCTACTCTTGCATGAATTTTGTGCACTGGGCCTCTAGTTCTAAAACAATAACATTAGTTATATGGGGGAGGAGGCATAGTGTGGTGAGTGGCTTTTCTTCTCTTTGTTTTGATTACCTTTGTTTCTAAATATTCCTCAATGAGCATGTTTCACTTTTTCACAAGAAAATAAAGGCTTAATCAAAAGCATTTTCTGGCCCTAACAGTTTGGCTCAGTGGATAGAGCATTGGTCTGTGGACTGAAGGGTCCCAGGTTTGATTCCGGTCAAGGGCATGTACCTTGATTGTGGGCACATCCCCAGTAGGGGGTGTGCAAGAGGCAGCTGATCAATGTTTCTCTCTCATCGATGTTTCTAACTCTCTATCCCTCTCCCTTCCTCTCTGTAAAAAAAAAATCAAATCAATAAAATATCAATATATTTTTTTAATAAAAGAGTTTTCTGATCCTTGCAAGGACCCTATTATGGAGTCAAAGCAGGTAACACCAGAATTGATGTTCTATGGGGAAACTGAGGCTCACAGTGGCAGGATGGGGAGAGGCACTTACTTGCAATACTGGGATTGGATGTTGAAAGAGCATCTTTTCAATTGTTCCTCCCCTGGAGGCCCAGCCCCATCCGGGACACCTGGAGAGCCGGCGGAGCAAACGTGAGCATCTGAGCCTCTGAGCATCGATGATGAACGATCAGAGGTGCCAGGCAGGGAAACGGGATAAATCTCTGGGCTATTTTTAGCGTGCCCAGTTTCCATTGACTAACCCCGCAGACACTCAGGCGGCCTCCCGGGAAGGATGATGATTATTTATGTGGACATTTATTTCAAACTTATTTTTACTTTTTATTAAGAAATTTCCAAATACTCAAACGTGGAGAGAATAGTGAACGAGAGTGGCTTCAACAACCATCAGATCCTTGCTGCACTGGTTTCTTCCCCACCCCACCCCCATCTTCCCCTGGAACATGTTAAAACCAGTTGCAAACTCCATGCCATTTCACTGCGAAATATAATACTACCATTTCCATCTCATTAAAAAGGGGTGCGTGTGGACATTTTCTTACAGAGCCTCCATATCGGCACCTCATCTAAGAACATCAATATCCTAATAACTCGTTAATATGGCCTGATACTTGGCTCATAGATTTCTCCTGGGGCCTGATTTGGGCCCACTGCACAGTCAGACACGAAGGAGGCAGCGACTGTGGAGACGCTTTAAAAGGAGTGATGAGCATACGTGGTCTTTTGAGGTGTCTGTGATAACTATTATATATAAAATAGCTGTGATATTTTTCCCCCTTGTTTCAAGAATACTACTCTGATATAATTTTTCCACCTAAGATCACAGACACCCTGAATTTGATCTGCAGACCCCGGCTTAGGCACCCCTGTGGATCCATGCGTTAATGGCTGGAAGAAGCTGAGCCAGGCCTTGGCGCCCAGCGGCAGTTCTTCCCTTCTCTCTGCAGTGGCAGGGCTGGTGACCCGCCATGGCAGTCATATGGCATGCCTCCATGTGCGGCCTTGGGCTGATAATTACTTGGGCATCCACCCATTTGTCCATCCATCCATCCATCCATCCACCCACCCACCCATCTGTCCATCCATCCATCCATCCACCCATCTGTCCACCCATCCATGCATTCACTCAATAAATGTTTCTAGAGCCGGGCTCTGGGCTGATATCTCAAGGAGTTGCCAGGCGATGCAAGAGGAAGAGAAAAGTAAGCAACACTATCACATGGTTAGCGCTAACGCAGAGGCATGAACAAAGCTGGAAGCGGGGAGGCATTGCAGGCAGAGGAATGGCACGTGCAAGGGCCTGAAGGGGAGAAGGAGCCCGGGGTGCCTGAGAACAGTGTGGGAACAGAGTGGGGAATGATGGGAGGCGAGTCTAGGGAGAACTTGAGGGGTGATGTGGGCCAAGTTTAGGGGTATAGATGGCATCAACCATGGAGACTCCCACCCAGGGCAATCACATGGTCAGCTCTGCAGAGGCAGGGATGGGTTGGACCAGGGAAACTAAGGCAGGAAGACCAGTTAGGAGCTCTTGGAATGAGCCAGGCATCCTAAGAAAGAGGTGATATGCAAATTGACCATCATTCCAACACATTAACTGCCCTCATATGGTCAAAGATGAATGCCCCCATGTGGACACAAGATGGCCGCCACATGATGGCTGGCAGGGGAGGATAGTTGGGAGTGACCAGGCCTGCAGGGGAGGGCAGTTGGGATTGGGAGGGGAAACCAAGCCTTCAGGGAAGAGTAGTTAGGGGCAATCAGGCCTGCAGGGGAGCAGTTAGGCATCAATCAGGCTGGCAGGGAAGTGTTTAGGGGGTGATCAGGCTGGTAGGCAGAGTGGTTAGGGGCAATCAGGCAGGCAGGGAGGCGATTAGGAGTGGTTAGGAGCCACCAGTCCTAGATTGTGAGAGGGCTCCCTGATTGGAGAGGGTGCAGGCTGGGCTGAGGGACACCCCCCCAGTGCATGAATTTCATGCACCGGGCCTCTAATAAGGTAATAAGGCCTGAGCTTAGGTATTGGCCAGGGGTGGTGGAAAGGAGACAGGCATGAGGGACGCTTCCTGAGTAGAATGCCCCGGAACTGATGAGCTGTGGGGGTGAGGGAGAAGGGAACCAGGGAGACTCCAAGCTCTCTTCGCTGGAAACTGGGAGCCTGCTCCTACTGGAATCCCAAGTGTACTGATAACATGGAGACCCCGGCCTCAGAGTGGAAGAAAACAGGACGGAGAGGAATTCTGCCTCACATCTCCCCGGGGCTGGAGGATGACAGGTGGACTGTGTGGCAAACGGGAGCCATGGGCGGCGTGTGAGCAGGGGAGCAGTCCACTGGGACCCATGCTTTGGAAAGATCTGGTGAGGAGAAGGGTGCTGCCGTGTGACCCCCATGATCCCTAGCCCCAGGGCATCAGACGAAGGACTCAGCCTGCCGGCACATCCCGCCTGGAGCAGACGAGACCTGCGAGGATGCACACAGAGTGCCACGGCGGCTGGCGGGGACGTGAGTGTCTCCAGAGAGGTCCCCTGGGACTGCGCTGTGTCAGAGCAGGCTGGGATCGGAGGGATTAAAAGGAGGCCATGGCCTGCAGGGTTGAGTCAGCAGGAACCCCGTGAAATACAGCCTCTGAAGGCGCCCAGGCGAGCTGTCCTCTGCAAAGCTCTTGCAAAGCCATAAAATTAATGGCAGATCGTTTAAAAACAGTTCAGTTAATCTCAGGGCTCAGCTCCAGCCTTGCCCTCTGGAAGACAAGCCAAGCAGTAGTGGAGTTTTCCAGGAGAAAGAGCAGTGGCACAGCTCCCCCTTCTCCCCCTCCACCCCCTACCCCCATCCCCCCAACACCCCCCCAAACCCCCACTCCCGCCCAATGGCCTTCGGTTGGCAGCTCAGCCGCTGGGCTGCTCTCAGTGGATGTCCCCTCCAGGCCCTCTTCTCTGGCGGGCGGGTGACTGAACTGGTTCTGTGGCCCGTTAGTCTCCCCCCAGGCGCTGGTCCTGGGCTTTGGCGGCATCTGGGTGGCCAGCACAGGAGCCAAACTTGCTGTCTCTCCATTTCATGGCAAGCAAGGGCTTTCCTGAGTTGGCATTCAGGGGGCACTGCCAGCCCCTTCTCTCTCCTGGGTCTCTGCCAAGGTTACTATGCCTCTGTCTCCGTGTCTGCCCGTCGTTCCGCCTCTACCTTCACGTTTGTCTGTGCTCTACCTCCTTCTGCTGAGTTCCTCCCTCTCCCCTCTCTCCCAGCTCTCATGTTCCTCTCCATGTCCCTCTGTCTGTCTGCCTCTCCCTTTACCTAAGCCCTGTCTCCTGTGTCCGTCATGTCTCCCTCTGAATCTGTCAGTGCCCCCCTGTGTTCCTTGGTCCCTCCAGGGAGGAGGGGGTGCTGACACCAGCTGGGAGCCCTGCGGGCTGCCTCTTGGGGAGACCCCGCATTCACAGAGAAAGCACAGCCCAGCCCCGGGTGCAGGGAAGGACCTCTGTCTTCGGCTTTGCCCCGTGCTTTCCACCCGACTTGTTTGACAACAGAACCATTTCTACCCCAACCCCAAATATTTATGTTCGGAATAATCTGAATAATCGTCGCTGCAGCTGCCTGCTCTGTGCCTGGGCCCCGCTCCCCATCCCTGGTCCTTCTCCCGCCCTCCACGTTCCTGTTCCCGAGACCCCAGCCCTCTGTCCGGCTGTGAGCTTTTCTCTGTCGCCAGCACTCTCTCTCCTTCACCCTTCTTCTTCTCTCCCATTCTCTCTCTCTCCCTCTCTCTCTCTCTCTCTCTCTCTCTCTCTCTCTCTCATTCTCTCTCTCTCTCTCTCTCTCTCTCTCTCTCTCTCTCTCTCTCTCTCTCTCCCTCTCTCTCTCTCTCTCTCTCTCTCTCTCTCTCTCTCTCTCTCTCTCTCTCTCTCTCTCTCTCTTCCCCCTACTCCACAGGGCAGCCTTTGCCTGAGGCCTGGGTGGTGGAGGCTCCTTGCCTTTCCTGGAAGCCAGGGTGCCGGGAGGGTGAGGTGGGAGCTGTGTGGGTCAGAGCAAGGCAGAGCGCTGGGAACTTCTCACCAGAAAGACTCAGAAGCCGGAGGATGAGCATGCTTTCCAGTTTTGGGGCAGGTGCCGGGGCGGGACACGGCCCAGCGCCCGGGACTGGGCGGTGCCTGGGCCCCACTGACGTCCACAGACACCGCTAGGGAGCAACCCAGGCCACATCCACCGAGAAGACTACCAGGAAGATAAATAAGAGGGAGGGGCGGGAACGGCCTTCGGAAAGTACGCTGCTGTTTGTCCTCTCCCGTGGGTCTCCCCTGTGACCCTCTCTGTCTCCCACTCAGGCCTGCTTCCGTGGCCCTGGCCTGTGAGTGAGCTGCTGGCCTATCACTGCCCTCAAAGAGGGTCCTGCCAGGAAGGTCGGCCTCCGAGGGGCGTTAGACCTCAGACGTCACCAGCTGCTCCAGCGCCCAGGGTGAGAGCAGTCCCTGTATCACGGGTGAGAAAACCGAGACCCAAAGAGGGGGAGTGACTGCTCCCCATCACACAGGAAGTAAACGAAGCTCAGGTCCACCAACACCACCACCTATGGCCACCCCTGACGCCATGGACTCCTCAGGAGGGGCTTTCCTGGGAGCCTGCCAGCCCCTGCCCTCCTCCTCGCTCCGGGCCGCCCTGCACCAGGACTCGGCAGGACGGCGCCTCACCAGGAGGAGGCTGCACCTTGGCGTGGCGTGGCGGGCCTTGCTGACCTGTCATCTTTCCCTCCAGCCTTGGCAGCTCGGTGCTGCCAGGAGGAGCAGGAGGGAGGGAGCTGGCCCCGACACAAATCTTTTTGGATCCTGGAACACTGACCGTCAGCGACTTTGGCGGGAGGTCAATTTCTAACCCTGTATTACATAAGGAAACACGAAGTTCATATTTCCAAATAGACCAGGACACCATTCCTCAGCCGGACAGGCCATCAGAGGGGCAGAGCAAGGACGAGCGGTGGGACCGGCCGGCCAGGGTGGGGCTGAGCTGGCCTTCGAACAGGCGGCCAGGCTCAGGATGCCCATGTGGGCTCCGTGTGGACTCACTCAGGCAGCTCCGTGTGGACTCACTCAGGTGGCTCAGTGTGGACTCACTGTGGCAGCTCAGTGTGGACTCACTGTGGCAGCTCAGTGTGAGGACTCGGGCCGCTCATGGTGTGAGCTCCTGGGAAGTGCCAGGCACAGGGCACATTTCATCTCATGGAAACTCATAGCATTCCCTGAGGCAGGGCTCAGAAGAAGAGTCTGAGGCTTAGACCCTGTCCCTAATGCCCAAACTAGGAGCTGTGCTCCCCTACAGTGAGTGACTCCTCAGGAGGTGATGAGGGCTTGCTTTGGGGACTGGTGAGCAGGGACTCAGTGAGCACGTGTGGAGGGTTGTATTGCTGCTAACAAACCTCCGCCAGGGTTGGACTCAATGGCTTGATCACTTGAAGATCCTGCCCATCCTCAGCCCCGTGTGGCCAGGGCTGGCCTCTGCTGGGCATGCTGTCGGAAGGAGACCAGAGTTGACCTGGGGCTCCAGCAAGAACCTGAAAGGAGCTCGCCCGCGAAGGGAAGTGCTGTGACTCGGACACGGCACTGTGGCATCGCTGTCCGAGGAGAATCCGGGAGAGTGTATACACCCATCACACAGAGCCTTGATGAAGAAACAATAGGCCTGGGAGCTCCCGGAGATTGAGAAAGAGAGAAATCAGAATCTATCATTTTGTGATAAAAGCAAGATGCAGAATAAATGTACAGTGGGATATTGTTTATATTAAAAGACACACGCAATCCCTAACCAGTGTGGCTCAGTGGATAGAGCATCAGCCTGCAGACTGAAAGATCCCAGGTTCAATTCCAGTCAAAGGCATGTTACCATGGTTGCGAGCACATCCCCAGTGGGAGGTGTGCAGGAGGCAGCTGATCAATGATTCTCTCTTGCCGATGTTTCTAACTCTCTATCCCTCTCCCTTTCTCGCTGTAAAAACAAACAAACAAACAAAAAAACAACCAATAAATTATATATTTTTTAAAAGGATACACACAAAATACAGAGCCCTAGGCTGTCATACAGAGTAAGAAAGGCGTGTCAGTGCTGGTCAGGCCTGAAGGAGACACCCACACTGACTGACCATGGGATTCCCTCCAGGGGAAGGACTGGGATGAAGGGAGGCAGGGACAAGGGGGAATTGGGATTTCTCTGTAATATTTGTTTTACAGCAAAAATATCCTGTGCTCCCTGAGTAATTAAAGTGGATGCAAAAGAAAAGAAGAAGAAAGGGCAAATCCACTCTGTGGAAAAGAAATACATGAGATGGGACTTTTATTTTAAAATAAATAAAATAAATAAACCCATAATTTTGATTGATGGGTTGACTCATTCATTCACTCATTCACCCAATAAACAATAGAGTAGGTGTACCCCCAAGACAGTCCTGAGCTAGGGGCTGGGGTTGCAGAGTTGAAAGACAGAGCCCTACCCTCGTGCACTGCTGGTGGGAATGCAGACTGGTGCAGCCACTGTGGAGAACAGTATGGAGTTTCCTCAAAAGGTTAAAAGTGGAACTCCCCATTTGACCCAGGGATCCAACTTCTAGGACTATATATACCAAGAAACCAGAAACACCAATCAGAAAGGACATATGCACCCCTATGTTCATAGCAGCACAGATTAGCATAGCTAAGATTTGGAAACAGCCCAAGTGCCCTCAGCAGATGAGTGGATTAAAAAGCTGATACATCTACACAATGGAATCCTACACTGCTGTAAAAAAGAAAGAACCTTACCTTTTGCAACAGCATGGATAGACCTGGACAGCATTATGCTAAGCGAAATAAGCCAGTCGGAGAAAGATAAATATCACAAGATCTCACTCATTTGTGGGATATAATGATCAATATAAACTGATGAACAAAAATAGGTCCAGAGACAAGGGGCAGGGAAGGAGGGGGGGTTAGAGATCAACCAAAGGATTTGTATGAGTGCGTATTAGCATAAACCAATGGGCACAGACACTGGGGTGGGAGTGGCCTGCTGTCAGTGGGGTGGGAGTGGCTGGGGGAGGGTGTCAATCAGGAAAAAGGAGACATAGGTAATACTTTAAACAACAACAACAACAACAAAAAGACAGAGCCCTGCCCCTGAGGAGCTTAGACTCAACGAGGAAGGTAAATGGCAAGCCCAGGTGACGAATGACAGTCCAGGTGGTAAATCATCCCAGTAGCTGTGCCGATCCACAAGTATCCCGTAACTTTTTGCAAGAAGGTGACATGTAGGTGGGGTTCTGCAGAGAGAGTAGGAGTCTAACTAGTGAATAAGGAGAGGGTTCCTGGCAGAGGGGGCGGCATGAGCAAATGCTGAATGAATGGCAGCAGAGCCCAGAGCCATCCTCCCAGGGACTGTGGCCAGTCTTCCCATCAGTCACCCTTCTTCCTGGAGCCAACGCATGTGGTGACCGTGCCCACCATGGCACCTGACCCTGTCTACTCTGCCACACCATCTCTCCAGTCCGGGGTCTGGTCTGAGGAGGCTGAGTGGCAGAGGGGGATAATTTCCCAGCCTGTCAAGGTTCCAGGATCATCAAGAAGGTCAAGTGGGATCGCTGTTGGGAAAGGGATTTATATATAAATCAACAAGCACTAAACAAATAGCCTATTCAGGGTCCAGTTTTATTTCTAGAAGTTGAGCCCTTTGGCTAAAGAGAAAGATTATGTTCAAAGGACTATCAGAATGTGCCCCTCTCACAGCAGAAGGCCTCATTCACCAGGGGCAGGCACAACCCTCAGGGCCAGGCCCACCCGCCTGCTGAGTGAGCGGTTAGAGAGGCTGGAAAAGGAGGAAGGGGGGGGGGGGGGAAGGGAGAGAGAGAAATGGCCTCATCCCAGCCGTGGTCATCACAGCAGTGTCCTTTCCAGCTGGTCCTGTGAGGCCAGGCCAGGCTCAGGCCCAGCTATGAAATCACCAAGTAGGATTTTCTTTGCTCTCAGACCTGGCTTTTTCCATTTTTTTACATCTTGCCAAGGAAACCATCTCTTTGGAGATTCTGCATCCATCCTGCAAAGGGAAGTTCGGTCTTCCTCTTGGGGGTCCCCAGGGGCCCTCGTGCTGACACGGCCATGGTCCCCTCTGGCCCGCCATGGCCTGGGGTATGAGTGGAGGTGCTACTCGGAGCTCTCAGGGGCCTGTCCCTTTTAGCGGGACCAGAGCTGTGAGGCTAAGGGAGGTGGCTCCATCATTGGTGAGCAGACAGGAGTGCTGTTTAGGGGGATGGAGGCGGGATGTGGGGGGCAGGGATGGTGTTCCTGAGGCTCTGCTGAGCTTGCGCAGCTCAGCTCATTGTGAATTTCCATCTGGAACCAGAGACCCAGGGACGGCCCATAGGAGCTATCAGTGGTGCTGCTGTCCCAGGTAGAAACTGTTAACGGAAGACACACTCAAACCTACAGAGGATTTTGTGAATTTATTTGAGCCAAACTGTAGACAAT